AGTGTGTCAGGGTTGTATTCTCTCTCCTTACGTATTCAATCTGTATGCTAAACAAATGAGTCTAGAAGCTGGACTCAATGAGAAGGAGTGTGGCATCAGGATTGAAAGGAGACTCATCAATAATCTGTGTTATGCAGATGACACAACTTTGCTTGCTGAAAGTGAGGAGGGCTTGAAGCGCTTGTTGCAGAAAATCAAGGAATGCAGCCATCAGTATGGATTACATCTAATTTCAGGAAAACAAAGATTCTTACCACTAGACCAATAGGCAGCGTCATGATGGATGGAGAGATTAAGACTGTCAACAGATTCTTCTTGCTTGGATTCACAATTAACACCTTTCGTTGGTCAGCAAATAAGAAGATGCATTGCATCGGGAAAATCTGCAGTTAGGCAACTTTCCAAATTATGGAGGAGTAATGATGTCAGTTTGAGGACTAAGATGCATCTGATTCAGGCCATGGTCTTTCCAATTAGCCACTATGTATCCAAGAGCTGGATAATGAAAAAAGATGACAGAAAAAGAATTGATGTCTTTGAGCTGTGATGTTGGAGAAGAGCATTGAACATCCCATGGATGGCCAAGAGAATGAACGAGTATGTCTTGGAGAAGGTGCAGCTGGAGTGCTCTTTGGAAGGAAGAATGATCGTGCTCGCTTCGGCAGCACATATACTAAAATTGGAAGGAAGAATGATGAGGCTTTGCCTCACATGCTTGAGGCATGTTGCCAGAAGGTGCTATTCCTTGGAGAAGGACATGATGTTGGGAAGGATGGAGCACTGGCGAAGGAGAGGAAGACCCTCGACCAGGTGGGTTGATATGGTGACTGCCACAATGGGCTCTTGTGTGTTAGCAATGTATGAGCATGGCGCAGTGTAGGGCAGGATTCAGATCTTTTGTTCATAGGGTCGCTGTGAGTCATGCTTGACTCGACTGCACCCAGCAACAACACTGAAGCATAATAGAAAATGTTTTCCCAAACTAACAAAAATTATCAAGCTAGATACTGAAGTTCTTTTCATCAAAGTTGAGAATAAGGCAGTAACATTATCACAAGTGTTATTCTTAGCTTTTGATATTCCATCTTGTGTGATAAAATTGAGAAGTGAATTTTATTGATTTATATGTTGAGTGGACGAGACACCAGCACAAGTTACCATGTCAATCAATCTCATCCAGGATTTTTCTCTCCTGCGCTGTCCCTACACCCTTTCAAGTCCTTCTCCAAGGACTGGTTCCTCCTGGGCACATGCCAAAATATGTGAGATGGAGCTTAAAAATCCTTGCCTCCAAGAAGAAATTTCATTTCACCCTCTCCAAGGCAGACTACAGAGAAATTTCATTTCACCCTCTCCAAGACAGACCTTTTTGTTCGCCTGGCGGTCCATGGTGTGTTCAGGAGTCTTCTCCAGCACCACAATTCAAAGGCATCAGTTCTTCTTCTGTAAAAAATGAAAAAAAGAAAAGAAAAAAAACCCCAAACCCACAACAACACAAAACCATGCACACATCTTATATGAAAGAGCAGAAATATTAAAATATAGAATAAATTTCAAAGGAAAGGCATAAAAAGCCCAAAACCAGACTCGCTGCTTTGGGTCTGTTTAGCCTGATGACAAGCCTCCATAGAGGGACCAATGTTTTATATAGTAATGAGAGGAGACTGCCTCGTATTTCCTTGAAGAAGTGGCGGGTTGGTTTAAACTGTCTGCCTCTCAGCTAGCAACTCATCACTTAATAGTCTCTATGTTGTTAATGATTTAATCTTGCTGGAATCCACAGTCAACACCCTTGGCATCAGCAGTCAGGAAATCAAAGGATGAGTTGCATTGGGCAAGTCTGCTGTCTGTCAAGGATCTCTCCAGAATGCTAAAGAGCAATAATGTCAGTTTAGAGACTACGGTGCATCTGATCCGGGCCAGGGTCTTCTCAGTTGCTTGCAGTGCAGCATAGAGCTGGATGATCAAAGAATCCATGTCTTTGAATTGTGGTGCTGGATAAGAGTATTGAACATCCTGTGGACTGCCAAGAGAACAAATAGGTCAGTCCTGGACAGAGTAAAATCAGTTTACTTTTTGAAGGCAAGGATTTTAAAGCTCAGTATGACATACTTCGGTCATGTTGCCGGGAGAGACCAGTCCTTGGAGAAGGACATCATGCTTAGAAGGGTAAAGAATCAATGCAGGAGAGTAAGGCCCTGGATGAGATGGATTGACACAGTGACTGTGGCAATGGGGGCTCGTGTGTAAGAGACAGTGAGCTTCGCCTAAGTTAGGGCGAAAGAGGTGCAGAGCTATTGTGCATAGGATAGCTGTGAGCTGTAGTCTGCTTGATGGCATATACCACCACCACGACGTGGAAATTAAATACTCAAACATAACCTGATTTTTAAAATGGAGAATAAAAAGGAGGGTGAGATCAGGTATGAATCTGGCATTTTACTTCAATTGTAAATGTATATTTTAGTTAATAAATCATGTTGCTGTTGTTGTTAGATGCCGTCCAGTCACCTGAGACTCATAGCTCTGAAGCCTGCCTCACTACCTGTGACAGTGAAACACCTGTAGGTAATTGATTGTTCTTCAGAAATGCCATTTACTCTCCATATACAAAATAAATTCTAGGTGCATTACAGGTATGTAAAGTAAAATAATATAGCCATTTTAGGAAATAATTTTAAGAAAACACATAAATAAACTATACACTGGCAAAGAGCCTTGTCAGAAGCAAGAAAGAAGCCTTGGAAGATTTTTTAAAAAATTTTATTTTCTTAATTTTAATGAACATTTACAGAGATTTTGGATTTCCATTCATTCATTCTTGCACTTTTCCACGTGCCCTCCCTGCCCACCTCCAGTTAGCTCTTCTCTTTGAAAAAGAAAAGAAAAATTTTAAAACAAGGCTGTCTTAGAGAGGGTGAAACCAAATTTCTTCTTTAAAAAAAGGATTTTTGAAGCTCCATCTCACATACTTTGGGCCCATGGCCAGGAAGAATCAGTCCTTGGCCCTGTGCCATCTTCACAGTTACTGCTATTTGAGCCCATCTTTGCAACCACTGTGTATCAGTCTATTAATAATCAAGTAGCACAGTGTGAATTAATACAATGAAATGATATTTTTTTTTTTCATTGAGGCTCTCTGGTGGCCTAATGATAAGAAGCTGGGCTGCTACCCGAAAGGCATGCAGTTCTAATCCACCAGCTGCTCCACAAGAGATGGATGAGTAATCTCCTTCTGTGTGATTAACTGCCTCTGAAAACCCACTGGAGGGTCAGCCATGGGTGGGTTACAATTCAATGGGAAACAGCCACAAAAACAATATGGAACTTATGAGAAGTTAAGATGTGGGTTAATGTGTCTGTGTTTTCATTTATGGTGAGACGTTTAACTGATGCTGTTGTTTTAACTAAGTGCCCTGGCATTCAACCTGTATAGTTCAGCTGAAGATAGAGTTCTTCCCTTGCACTTCTTTCATTTCTCATTTATACTGTGAGTGTAAGGGCACACTTAATATGCTGTTATTTGTAGATACAACAAGTAAACTCAACACAAACCATCCATTTATATGAGGAATGACTTATAAGTGGTGTGATATACCTTTGAGACAATTTTTTTTAATATTTTGAAATTACAAATATTTTGAAATATTTGTAGCCATTAAAAAAGAATGTTAGCTATATAGTTGTTAACATAGAAGGACAAATGTGTTATGCTAACATGTATAGTATAATCCCATTTTATGTTAAAGAGAAAATATTACCTATTGTCAACAAGCACAGAGAAAGTTGTGGGAGAATATAGAGTATAATACTATAAATACAATGCAAAATGTGAACAACATTAGTTACTTAAGGAAGATGGAATGAAGTGAGACAAGATTATCCTCTTTCTTTTACTAATTTTAATAGTTTTTATGTAGGTCCTTGAGTCAAGCTTTCTAAGATCAAATCTTGCTAGCCTTGGATAGAAATTACTTTTCTTTCCTACTCCCAGTTTCTCAAATGGAAGTGGAAGTAACAATCACTGGCTGACTTCATTGTTGATATGGGACTAAGTGAGTTAACGCATATTAAGTGGATAAAACAATACCTGACACCTAACAAATACTTAATAAGTACTATATTTGTTGAAGTTAAATTATAGTTAATCAATTTAGGAAACTCTGACTACCTACCAGATGGTGATAGGTATATTTCTTAAACGTCTGTTAGTAGCCAGGTATGAGGATGTAGCAGTAATTTTAAAAGTCCTTACCCTTTCTGCTCATTGCCTTCAAGTTAAAATCAGTTTATAGCTGACATCTATTGAGTTTCCAAGGCTGTAAATCACATCAGAGGAAATTTGCCCTCTTTCTCTGAAGGAATGGGTGTTGGGTTCAGATTGCCAGAGAAAGTGCAGTCTTTGGATAAACAGCAAAACTCCCTACTAGACCACCAGGTCTTCCTCTTCCTGCCTTTGTTGTTACGTGCTGTTGAGTCACCTGTGACCTATAGTGACAGTGTATGTACAACAGCTCTGAAGCCTATCCTGTCCAGAGCCAGTCTCACTGACTCTGACGCACCTATCCTCATTAACCCTGGTTACTGTATCAGGCCATCACATCTGAGTTCTTCCTCCCCACACTTCCAAGCATGAGGTCCTTCTCCAAAGACTAGTCTCTCTGGCTATGTGCTGAAAGTATGTGAGATGGAGCTTCAAATTCTAACCTCTAAGAAGAAACCTGGTTTCACCCTCTCCAAGACAGACTTACTTGTTTTCTCAGCAATGTGTGGTATATTCAAGACTCATCTCCAGCACCACAACTCAAAGGCGTCGATTCTTCTTCTGTCATCTTCGTTCAGTGTACAGCTCTCTGATGCACATCAAGCAGTTGTGAAGACCATGGCCTGGATCAGGCACACCTTAGAGTTTATAATATTACTAATGATTCTTACTTATTTAAGTATGATATTTTATAAATGTTGCTAACTGTGATTTTTTGGTTTACTTTTCAATTTAGGATATCTTGTATTATGAGCAGCTCAAGACCAACGTGATTCAACATGACCTTTTGGTGGACAATCTAATATATAAAGTAAGTAAAAGTGTACGTAGGTTTTCTATTCCCTCAATATCCTTGATTGGTAGCTTAGAATCTTCCATATTCATTGCCTACGCTAAATGTCATTTTATATATATATTAACATTGAGAAAGAAAGGGCTGTTACTTGGAGAGAGATTGAAAAGCTAATGAGAAATTAAATAAAGAATAAGATTTTATCCAACTTTTCTGTAAACTTTCATTAAAATATTAATTTTAATAAAAAAAGAAAGATGAATAAGATCTTTAGGATAGGAAGCTTTTGGAAGCTCCATGAGATGTGGAAGGCCACAAACCATTGTTCTTTAATATATTTTGGTCACCAGGAGCCAATTTTCGTGCCCTTAAAAGCAATACCACCCCTTTTGAAAATACATACCTTCTACATTTGCCTGTATTTATCCCTTTGCCTGTACAAAGTCTTTTGGAATAGAAGACTGGCTCTCATTTCTGTCTTACTGAATGCTTTTTCTTTTCCTGACTTAGCACCGACTCATTGTCTCCTGAATCATCCATGACTCATTAATTTTTGTCCTGATTACTGCTTTGTTCAACAGTAGTTGAACTAAACTTTAGCTCTGGGCAAAATATATGATTATGGATTTTTGATAATAGTTCTTTATCATTATTTCCATATTCTAATATGTTTTTCCTCACTGGTGAGATTGTAGAGTTTTAAAAGATAACATTGGTTGTGGATTTGTATCTTTTAAAAAGTATTCTATTAAGTGAGGATGACAGAAGAAGGATTGATGGCCTTGAATTGCAGTGTTGAAGAAGAGTGCAGAATAGTACATGGACTGCCAAGAGAACAGATATGCTTGGAGAAAGTGCAGCCAGGATGCTTCTTGGAGGCCAAAATAACAAAACTTCATCTCCCACACTTTGGACATGTTAGGAGAGACTATTCCTTGGAGAGTATCATCATGCTTGCAAAGAGGAAGTGTTAACAAAGGAGAGGAAGGCCCTAAACAAGATGGATTGACACAATGACTGTAACAATGAGCTCAAGTGTGTCAGAAATGGTGAGAATGGCACAGGAGAAGGTAGGGTTTAGATCTGTTGTTCAGGGTCACTATGAGTCGTAGTCAACTTAATGGTACCTAACATAATATCAGTCCATATTAATTCCACAGTGGGTACAAAGAAAGGCTTTCCTTTGTGACATAGCAGCTAGTTGTGTTGTTAACTTAGAGGCCAAGTCTGGCAATTCAAATCCACCAGTTACTTCCAGGGAGAAAGAGGAACATTTTCCTTCCATCATGACTTACAACCTCAGAAACCTGATAGAAGGCTGTCATTAGTCAGAACCAAGGTGAGGACAGTGAATGTGAGTTTCTGAGTATAGGCCTAGAGCTTTTAGATATAAGTAAAGATTCAGAACCTATATTTAAAGTGTAGTCACTTAGAAACAGGTGAAGATAATTGAGGGAGCTTTTGGTTAGTTTTGAAAATCATTTTCTAGATGCCTATTCTGTGAGTAATATCATGCTAGACCTTTACCCATATGCACTGAGGTCAGTGAGAGTACAAATGTTTAAAGCAATCTCAATCCAGCAGGTGTGAAACCGAGTTGACTTTGGAGGAGGGGCTCCTACTCCTTCCTGGAGAAGTTCATGGGCTAGCTCTTAACCGTGGAGTTCATGAGTCAGAGAATCAACGTTACTAGTCTTTCAGGGATAGATGATTTGCAAATGAGTAATCCCAAAGGGATGTAAGATTTTATTTAGTATTTTGAGGGAATAGAACATTAATATGGGGCATAGTGCTATGGTTACTTCTGGATATTATGGTGGTATCTGCTTTTCTTTCTCATCTTTGTTATTAAGTTGGAACTGACCCATAGTTGACCCTCTAACAGGTTTTCAGAGGCATTTAATTGCATGGGAGGAGATTGCCCATCCATCCTCCCACAGAGCACCTGGTGGCCTCGAACCCTGTGCCTTTGGGATTGCAGCACAACTTCTTGCCACTAGACAGCCAGAGCTCTCTACTTTAAGATGCCTTCCCAACCTTAAGATACCTAAATGTTAAGGTTGAACCCCCTGCAGTTGATTTCAACTCCAAGCAACCCTATAGGACAAACTACTCCCCTGGGATTCTGGGGCCATATATTGTACCAGAATGGACTGCCTCTTCTTTATCCTACAGAGAAACTGGTATGTTCAAAATAACCTTTCTCTTAGCAATTGAACATTTAACCCAGTATGCCACCAGGTCCCTTGATCAGATTAAAAGAAAATAAAATTAGTAATTTACTAATTAGTAATTAGTAATTTACTAATTAGTAACTAGTAATAATGAATAAATAACTTTAGATCAAATAATGAATGAATAACTTTAGATCAAATAATGTCATGTAGTGGGGAACTCAGGGGGCCTCCATGAACCTTGCTCTGTCCTGTGCCATTCTCACAGTCTGCTTCACGCTCAAGGCCATTCTTGTCGTCACTGTGCCAGTCCTTCTTGTTGAGGGTCTTCCTCTTTTTTCCAGCACAATGTCTTCTGATGACATGCCCAAAGAATGTAAGACAAAGCCCTAAGAAGTAAATATGTGTCATTGATAAATTTAATCCTGAAAAAGCTGATGAAATGGTTGTGATATTGTTTCTAGCTTTTTTGTCTGTGCTTGGGTATGAAAGAGTCACTTGAGTTCTTCTCAGCACTCTCTACTTTTAATTGTAGGATGTAAAATTGACGGCAAGCAATGATGATTATTATTTTGTATTTGAAGATTATTTATATCAGGTAAGTTGACAAGTTAAAATATGTCATATTCTCTTTTGTGTTCTCAAAATCATGGTCATGTAGGAGAGAATTCTATTAACAAAATACTTCTGAAATGCCAACTGTGTTTATTTTTTAATGTGATGAAATGTAGATTTGGGAAAAGGTTGATTTTTGTTCTTCGTGTGGGACTGTTGTTGCGTACCATTGAGTCAAAACCAACTCATAGAAGATGCTTTAGCCAGTTTTCTGGGACAATAAATGACATGGGAGGAAATTGCCCATTTTTCTCTGTCGGAGCAGCTGGTGGATTTGAACCAGTGACCCTTAGGTTGGCAATGCAACTCCTTACCACTAAGCCACCAGAGCTTTGACAGTAGAACAAAAGTTCACAAATGAGTTTTTGGAATGATTTTTTTTTTTAGATATATTTGCTACAAGTAGGTAGCTGTGGCAGGTAAATTTTCTACTCTTTTTTGGACAAATATTTTTAATTATATGTTAAATTCATGTTTAAGCCTCACAAATGGTTAGGGAAATAATTTTACACTGAAGATAGTTAAATTTTTTAACCTTAAGTTTTAAAATCAATTTGAATGTCATGTGGGGTTTTTATAATTTTTTATGCTGATATTGTGGATGCTTGAATCCAGATCCTATGCACATCATTAAAATAAAATCAGTTTATCATAAGTACAAATAGGTAATATATATAGAATTGCTTCAATTATTTTTCTTTTTTATGATTATGCATGCATATTATTACTTGATTTTGATTGAATATCAATATAAATGCCATGGGAAAATTTCTAAATTCTACATAGCAATTTCTACTTGATTAAATGTGAATTGGTCTCAGTTATTTGGATGAGTTAATGATGTGGGGGCATGTGCATGAGTTTAAGAGAGAAGTTAAGGTTACATAAGAACTCTCAGGAATATTTAAATAACATTCTAAGAACTAATGTGTAAAGACTTTATAAAATGAAAATCTAAATTGACCCTGTTGTGGTGGTATACTGTTGAGTCAGAACTGACCAACAGCAGATCCTCCAGCGGGTTTTCAGAGACAGTTAATTGCACAGGAGGAAATTGCCCATCCTTCTCCCACAGAGCCGCTGGTGGATTCAAACCTCATGTCTTCAGGATTGTAGAATAGCTTCTTGCCAGTAGCACACACACACACACACACACACACACACACACACACACACACATATCTTTTGTGTATTGTTGTTGTTGTTTGTTGTTATGTGCCATCGAGTCGCTTGCGACTCATAGC